AAGATCACTTAGTGCACTCTCAAAGCAATCGGCTATTCTTTTCTACTCCCTTGCTCTCCTGTGTGCGAAGAAATTCTTAGTGTTCTTCATTTCCTTTCAAGARCTYTYTGTGTTGTTCTTGAAAGTTCTTCTCCTTGTAAGATTGTTTAGGTTAGGTTTTCCTTTCCTATCTTCCGCAACAATCTTTTATATTTATGTGTGTATTAATTCTTGATATAAATCGATAAGAATTAAAAAGTTGAAAAAAGTCTGTGTAATTGTATTCAAACCCCCCTTCTACAATTACTCTATGTTTATTGTCTTTCCCTTCGGTACTAACAATATCTCAATGTTGAATTTATCACTGCCTGAAAAGGGACCCCTCATTCCCAACACAGTGCATGTGAAACTTGAATATGGACTTATGTTCATTGACTATGATAGTCAGTACAGGTTTCAGCTAGTGTCTGAGTTCCATCTCTGCGCTATAGATCACTTTAAATATCTTCGAACTTGGCTGAAGGATTATCTATGTAGAGAGATGATGGACCGCAAGATTCGAAAGAAAATGCTCAGAATAAAGATTCAAGAAGAAGATGTCTCTGACTACATCAGCTTCAAAAATCTAGATTAGAAAACCTTTCAGTCTTGTAAAATATTGTATATCTATATCTTTTCTTTCAGTGTATAGATTTTATATTTTAAGCCTATCAAAACCAATAGTATTCAGTTGCAATATTTTTTCTTGTAAGATATTTCAATAAAATGATTGGTTCATTGAAAAAGATCCCTCAAAAGAGTAAATGGACATGTACTTATGATATCTATTTATTTCTTACATTCGTTGACACCCTCCTAGTTAGAGAATATGCTCTCAGTATTTAGTTATTCATATTATGTAAGTTCATTCTTTCCTTTGTAATCTTTACAAGTAAATTAAATTTCCATAATAAACTTTATCACTGAAAAAGATCCCAAAACAGTTAAAAGAGACAAATATTTTACTATTACCTTTTTCTTACTGTAATACCGAAGCAATTTTCTTTATGTTCTTTTGTCATCATCAAATAGGGGGAGATTGTTGATCCTCTCTCTTAATGATTTGATGATGATCATTTTTAACTTACGAAGTATACTATTCCTTTATTCAGCTTCAGCGATCATCACTGAATAAGTATATTCAGTGATCACTGAACAAGTATTGTAATTCTCAGAGAGACAAGTATTCTTCAGGAAGACAAAACTCACACCACATAACCTTCAGTAATATCGAAGATAAACCTGAAGACAAAGACAAGAAATTTCATGATCTGATGTTGGTTTCATTGATAACAAGTATGTCTACACAAGTGTGAAATCTACTCAAGATTCAACGAACACTGAAGAAACCTCAACATTATTCCAGTGTCAGCGATCAAATGAATCTTGTTGAACAAGATTAGTTTTTGTCTTGTCCTTCTACATACAAAGGACAAACCCATACCTCTCAAAGTAAAGTACTCGACGGAGTCACTTTATTGTCTCCAAGCATGTTTACCTACTTTGTTAAAGACTACTGTTTATATACGGCAAAAGTCTGTATATCTGGAACAAATGACAAGCTCACCTCTAAAAGCTTGTCACGTGTTTTGTATCGTCTGATTTGTATTTAATGCAATAGGTATAAATAGTTGAGAAACTCTTCCTTCTCAGTATCTTACTACAACCAGAAGAAGCAAACTGTTGCCAAGAATTTTTACTTCTTGAAGATCAACTCTCTACCTAAGAGAAAGGCTTCTTCCCAAGCACAAGACTTCTTAGCCTTTTCTTTTAGCAAGTCTTTTCTTTCTTGCTTTATGTATCTTGTATGTTTCTTTGATTGTTTAGTTAAGTTATGTATCTTATCTCTTCTGCAAATAATCTATAAAATTTTGTATTGATCTTCTTTATCAATAAACGATTTTTAAAAGTGAAAGTTGTTGTGTTTGTATTTACCCCCCCTACAAATTGTTACCTTTAAACTCTTGTAGATTTGGTTGGCACCAACATTAGCTCTCAAGTTTCTTTAAATCTTTATCTTGCTTTGTTGCAGCATTACATTCTTGTCTTTACTTCATTTACTTTCCTTGTCATTTACTTTCCGCTATTTACATTTAGTCATTTACTTTCCTTTATTTTCATTCATGTCTTTACTTTCTGTTATTTACTTTCCTTGTCAATTACTTTCCGTAAGAGTAGCTAATTCCATTAGCTTGGGTGTGAGACTAAAGGTGAGATTTTAAACCAAAGGAAAGTGGACGTTGTTTTGGAATAACATCGTTCCAATATTTTATTCAAGTTTTATAAAATCAATGACACTTTTTGACAGTTTGATCACTTTGAGAGTGTTAAAGTGTCATGGTCTTAGAGATAAGCCATTGAATACACTTCAATTTAAATGATATGAAAAGTAGACTTTAGAGAGTTGCTGACAAAGAGATTTGTCGTTTATATTTTCAGACTAATTAATTCTCGACGGGTTGATCACTTGTTAAAGTGTTAAAGTGCAGTAGATTCAAAGATGAACTACTTACAACACACACCAATTTGAATGATATGGAAATCAACTCGAGAGAATGATTTTTAACAAAGAGATTTGTTCATCCATATATTTTGAGAACACCATTCGTCACTATCCCTGATTCTGATACCACATAGAGATATGAGTTAAAAGCTATAATATAGTGCAATGGAAGTCCAAAAAGAATACCTCAAAATAGATGGTGGAACTAGTTATGGTCGACTGCTTGATGTAGCATCCCTACAGCATTGTCCGCTGGAATTTGTGTTTATGTCTCACCACAAGTCTTACACCTATGCTACCTTTATATATTCTGTTTTTTTAAGCTAGTAAATCAAACCAATAAAGTCTTCAAATTCATCATCTAAAATCATTTCTTTCATTCTACTTTTATTAAATGTTTACTACGATCCTTGTAGAAGATATTGGGTATTCTATACCACTTTTTAACTGGAAAGACAATATTGAAACTAATTGTATACTTGCTTTTGATCCTGATTACTAAGTTTGTGGGTGTGTAAAAGCTTCTATCAATAGCCATAGGAGTCTGTCTTATTGTTAAATGTGGAGTTTTGATGTCCAAACTTAACTATAGTGAGTAGTCCTCAATTCATGGTTTGAGAGCTTGTGGTGATACCCTATTGGGTTGCATGAGAAGGTAATAGCTTGTGGTACTACTATATTGAGTCATATATGAAGCTATGTCTTGTAGTGGTGCTCGTTGGAGCCGTATATGAAGATTGGCGACTTTTATGGTGAAACTCATTTAGAGGTTGAGTAGACAGTAGGGCCATTGTGGGTATCTTCCGGTGGTACTCAATGGAGTCGCATATTGGAATCCATGGCTTGGGTTGAAACTCAATAACGTTGATAAGTGATCTACTTTTGTGTTCCCACGACATTCAATGGGAACAGGTCTCCCCCATAGCCGAAAGGTATTATTTGAGGTACTTTTCCACCTATGTGTTCAATGTTTTGGATATTGAGCCTTATACGTGCATGTGATATTTTGAAGTGTGATTTTTATTCACTTTTACGTGAGTTTGGATTTTGTTATTATTCTAAACGAGTAATTGATTTGGAACTAGCGAGCTTTAGAAAGATGTTTCTTTTATGAAATTTCATCAAAATAAAGGAGTCGTTATTTAAAGAAAATTGTCTGATTTCACCATTTTATGTTTATATAGCAAAACTGTTTTAATTCACTTGGCGCTAATAGTAGAAACCATTTTATACGTATTTATATATATATATATACATCAATTAACCTTCAACTTATGTTATTATAATGACTAATTACTCCTTTTTACTTAGTGGTTGTTTATTATATATAGAGAGAGGGGGGAGGAGGGGGAGAGAGAGACTTGGGGTCACATAAGACTAATCTGTTTGCATGAGAACCGCGAGATCACTTTCTTACACTTCAAATTTCACAGCAAAACACTATTAGATATGATGCTTAGGTCAATAGCAGTATCCCAAAAGAAAAGAAAAATGAGACATAAAAAGAAGAAGAAAGTCCAATTCAGTAGCAAATGCATCTAAGTCCAAGTTCAACTCCAGCACCTCAATTGATTTCTCGTCGGGAAACTTCTTCGGCGGCAAAAGCTGCCCTAAATCTCGCCTTAGATGATGTGTTTGGGACCAAATTCTTCTGTGCGAGTTTTCCTATGAGTATAGCCGCTCCCCAACCCGCCTTAGGCACTGTCTCGATATGTTTTTCCCCAGTTCGGGCGACTCTTGGTGTGGGTTGGACGCATTCCAAGTCGCTTGCATCAAAATCTAACGGGCCACGTTATTAAGCGGTTTATTTCGATTGAAGTATAATAGTCTCTTTTAACTGTCAATTAGGGGTGGGGGTCGATTGGAAATAAAGGGAGGGTTTAATGTTTATCGTTTTGAGTTGGATATTTTGAGTAGGACCCCTTGATATGTCTGATTTATATTTCGAGTTGCTAGAATAAACATTTAAATCCATAATTGCTTTTTAGTTTATCTAAGTAGCACATAACACATAATTGACATTTATATTAAGTGTTGATGTTGTGAGATCGTATAATCTAACTTAAATAATCAGCAATCGATTATTGATTAGTCTTGGTGTTTGTTTGATGTTAATGCGATTGGCAATTAAATTTTAAGTCCATGACTAGGTATGGTTAGCTAATTAGAGATTGTTAGTAAAGTGGTCAACGCTAGTCATGCTTTTCTAACCAACAGAGCATCGATGCGTGTGGATGTTCTAGCCAAGTTGGCTTCTCTTGAGAAAATGGTTTGAATAAGTCAATGATATATAATCCAAAGGATTAGCCGATTGATACTCATTGCTAGTCTCTTTCATTTTATTATTTATACTTCTTAACTTGTTTAGCTTATTTGGACTATTTATCAATCATCAAACCTCTCCCTTATGTTTTCGACAAAATTGCACGTGATTACGCCTCGGACTCATGGTTGACACCGAGTCTATGAGGAGACGACCCTACTTATCGCTATCACAATTTGTTGTGTTTTAGAGGTAACAGGTTAAATATTATTCGCTCATTATTTGTTGGACTCAACACCTGTCAGTTAAGCCTTGCACTTTTTCTTATAGAGAAAATTGGGAGAACTCTTATATTTCTATTACTTTAACTTCTCGTTCCGTGGTTTACAGATGAAATTCTACCTCCTATTTATGGGTATCTAAGGGGCCGTTTACCAAACTCTTACCGCGTAAGCACTTACCTTATGTGGTAATATTATTAACCATCAAAATCAAAATGGATTGTTGGTAAGCATCATTTACCTAATAATTGTTTACAGAGTAAGAGGCTTCTCCTTTACTTACCGGATAACATTCTCGGTTTTTACTATGCTTCTTATTGGATAAAATTTTTGGTCATTTCCATACACATCGGTAAATGTTTATCTATTAAGCTTTTGGTAAACGACTCCTAAATATGAATTTAGGGAATTTTACTCTGATATTTATTAGTTTTAGAGTAAAATAAATTGCGATTTGTTGCAATATGTAACGTTAAATTACAACACAAAAACAAGTACATGACCCTAGCTACAGTAACAAGTAATAAGCCTTAATTATAAGTTGTTTTGTCTACATAAAGCATTAATATATGCAATGCCAAACAACATAAAACCAACACATCGTAAATGACCAAAATACCCCTCATGTTCGTTTATGCTGTGGCTTCTTCCACAACACCCCGATCCTCTTAAGCACATTACCATTTTTCTTCTTCAAGAACTCATCATCATCACCATCAATCTCTTCACCATAAGGAGAACCAATGTTTCTTTCAGCCTCCATTGATCCTGTTCTCATCACCATCTTCTGGTTCGTCTGATTCGCACTCGAAAGCATGGCGGCAGCCGCCTCTGCCGCCTTCCGCCACTGATCCGACTGCACCTTCAGCCTCCTCAACTCCGCCTCAGTTTTGCAATTAGCTGCCTGTGCTGCCTCTAATTCAGCTACCACTCTTGCAACCTTTTTGTTGCTTTTTTCTATCTCCTCCACGAGATGATCAACCTTGATGATCGATTCGTTTTCAGAAGCCAACAATTCTTTACAATCCGTTTTCATGATTTCCAGTTTCAGCTTCTCGTTTTCGTCTGATTTTTTATGCAATTCGGTCTCAGTAACCATCAGTTTCGACTCCAAAGAGTTGAAATCTTCTTTCAAACTCTTGATCTCGTTTTCCAGTTCGTTCTCTCTCCTGCCCGAAAAGGAATTCTTCAGCTTTGAGTTTAGATCATCATTTTCCTCACAAATTCCCTGCAATTCAGTTTCTTTATCCATTAGATTTGCTTTTAATTCCTCAATAACTGCTTTTGATTTCTTAAGTTCACCCTCCAATTCGGACTCTTTTACCCTCGAGTTAAACTTGATCTCCTCCACCAACTCATAAGCACTCGTGATCTCCATTTTCCTTCGCGATTGTTCTTCGTTGAATCTTGTCTCAGCCGTTTCAACATCAGATTTCAGCTTTCCCACTTCAGATTTCAAAGCATAAATCTCTTCATCTCGGTTTTCAGATTCTGATTCCAAACCAATGGCATCATTGTCCTTTCCCACTAACTTGAGGGACTCGATAATCTTTTTAGCTGTTTCTAGTTCTAGTGAAGTCTCTCTAGCTAAGGCCTGCGCTTGAGACTCTGAACTTCTGCAATCTTGAAGCTGGTTCTTCATGGTCTCCACAAGGGAAAGAGTTTTAGCCACGGTTTCTTTCAAGTTATGTACTTCTGCATATGCTGATTCTGCTTGATTGGTTTGTGCAGCTTCAGATTCGGCTTTTCCGGCAAGTTGGACTTGTAGTTGACCAATCTCGTTCATGGCAGCAGCTAGTGCATCTAAATCAGCTGCGTGCAGTTTCTTGGCTGCCTCAAGTTTGGTTTTCCATTCTTCATCACCAGCCTCACATAGATCTTGGATCTCTTCTAGTTCATTGATCTGCTGTTGCACAAAATCTTCATTATCTAGTAAAACCAAAACCACATGAACCCAATACAATCTACATGTAAGCAGGGTCTGGGGCGGAATGTATTCAGACATATCCTGTACCCCAAAGGATAAAGCAGTTGTTTTATGAAGACCCCCGGCTTGGGCAAAAGCATGACCAAAAAGGAAAGAAGAGCCGAGGCTAGTATAGTAAGTATATGGTAATCAATAGCGATCACCAAACTGATGATTCTTTTTCCTTTTCTAGAGGGAGCATCATTGATCAATACGCATGTTCTACAAAAAAGCAACAGTGATCTGGTGAGTTTGATGGTAACTTTTGACGGTTTCGAAAATTTACCCGCATGATAAAACGATAGTGAAATGCTTCGAGATAAGGTATACAAGCAATTTCCCCATAACACATACAAAGTAAGAAAGTGTTCATCTTGAAAGGCCAACTAAAATAACCTCGAGAGTCAGCTCAATTGGCAAATTAAGGCCGGGCCTTGGGACTCCTCCCTATAGGTCGAGTCTCCTAACTGTTATATTCAAATATCCATGAAATTAATTGAACTTTAATATGAAGCATTCCAAAATGGGAACAGTTTGCAATCACTTTACAATAGAAACTGTAAGGAAAATGCTTACATGTGGTTTATCAGAAGAAGAAATTGTCAAGAGCTTTTGAGACTCTTCCAGCTTTGAAGACACAGCTAAAAGCTGCTTTCTTGATTCTTCGGCATCTTGTTGAGCTTGATCTTTCCATGATTCCGATGAAACTAGTTGATTCTTGACCGTTATCAAAGCATCTTGAAGTTGAGAAATTTGAGTTTCAAGTTCTGCAACTCTGCCTGGCCGTTTCTGCTGCAGCTTGAAAGAAGAAATATGAGAGTTAGCAGCTTAAGGTAAACACAAACCGAACCAACCCAGTATATTCCACCTGGAGGTGGGGTCTGGTGTGGGCAAGATGTACACACTACACAGACTTGACGTCTACCATAAATAGTAGGCAGCTGTTTCCGTGAAGACACCCAGCTTAAGGTAAAATCATGCAATGAATTTGTCAAGTTCCAAATACATGACTGCAATTTTACAGGGATTTGTAGTTCAATTTACCTCAGAAATGGGGCTTTTTGGCGATCTGCGAGCACTGATTATAGGACTTGTAGTCTTTGGTGTTCTAATGCTTGTTTTGTTCGGAGAAGAAGAGTTGGGTTCTAGTCCAGTTGTCTTGAGTTGGCGTGCGGTTCGACCTGAGCCCCTTTGGGTTGCGTCCGAAGAAGCAGATCGTGGAGAGATCTTCAAAGGACCTTCAGAGGAGCTCTTTGTGCTGCGTGTGTCAGCCAAAAGAAGAGTCAGGATATTATTAGGATTCAGGCAGAAATCAAACATCAAGAGAGAACTCTTAAAATTAAAGAGAAGCAAACAAAAGAGACTCCTGAAATTATGATGAAACAAGCTTCAAGAAATCTGCAAAATTGGTCAATAATGGACACAAATTTTAGTGATTACTTGAGTCATGAAGAAAACAACAATCATATAAAAGAAATAGTCCACTTGCAGAAAGACCATCTTTTGGACAATTCTAACATTCACCAAAATGTATGAACAAATTAACTTCTTATCTGATCATCACTAACAGGGGTAAGTTTAGGAACATCAAATTCTTCTAATGTTAGATTTGAAATTTGATTCTTTCATGACCAAAGAGATGGTGAAGTTTGACTTTTATTTCTGGGACTAGGGGGTAGTAATCATAAAGGCCAGCTAATGTAGTGTGTGAATGTGTGTATCCAGTAAAATTCTAGAGTTCAAATTCTATCCGGTACTCAAAAATCTTGAAAGAATGTTTCTTGCCCATGCCAAGAAAGCTCAAGATATAACCAGAGAACCATCATAGTTATATTTCTTTGTTGTTCCCTTAAATAACTTCATTTTGAGAGTCATGATTTCTATACTATCATTAGAATTTGAAGTCAATATGAACTCTACTACAATTTTTAACAAAATTAAACAGCCAAAGATTGAGGTAGTTGAGCACATACGACCAGAATCACAGTTTTTCCCACTGAATCAAGTTGAAAAATCATTGTTCCATGTCAAGATTATTTCATTTGCAGAAAACTATCGCAATGCCTACAACCTGATACCAAATAAAAACAAGAAATCTTGAACCAAATGGTAACATAAACACGTCTCATAGCAGTTTTTGTTTAACATTAAACAATGCATAATCTTTCATCAGTGGAAAAACTATAATGGTATCATAATATAAAAGTTAACTGAAGGTTACCTTGAAGAACAAAAAAGGGTACCAGATAATAGACCATTACAAGTTGTACCAAACACTTAAATTGTGAAACAGTCGTAATAAGTAAGAAATAAGAGATGAGAAAGACTCCATAAACGCCATTAATGGAGGGTTACCTTGTTTTGGGAGTCTGCATCTGCATATCTTAACTATCTACCACTTCCCCTTTCTATGGATGAGTTAGAAAACTGGGATTTTATGCCCAAGTTTTGGCCAATTTAAATGCTCTCTGACCCACAAAGCCTGCAAAATTCTGAGAAGTCACAAGTACTGAGAGAGAGAGAGAGAATCCAATGGTGAAGATGTAAATGGCTGACATGGGGGAGGGATTATAGTATTACTCTGCAACAGGCAAGAGGGTATACTATGATTATAAATGATAATAAAGAGCAAATAAATCAATAAATAAAAGGTACCTTTGTACAAACAAACAAAGAATACATGTTTCGCAAACTAACTCTGATAGTTGATAAAAAAAATAATTTACACATTGGATGACAAAATAAAATGAACACCTTTGAAAATCATTCAATTCTAGCATACGAATGGCATAATTGAAAGAAAAAAACCCCTAAAGCTTTACTGTAAAGTTCTATGAATAAGCATTTTTTTAAAAACTAGGCTTGACAAACGAAGTTCTCTCAAATTTATGGTGGTCAAACATGATATATACCATCGATGTTTATGCAACGATGTCAAAATATGCGTAAACAATAAAACAAGAAACATGGTAGTCAACATACATGTAGTTCAAAAAATTCGTAAAGAAGAAACAAGCAATTTTTGTTGATAATATTGAAAAAGAACTTGTTATGGTTTCTATTCAACAAAGTTGATACGATTTAGGTATTATTAGTAGTCCTCCACTGACTTCACCGAACACTTGCAAACATGAACAATCTAAGCAGAAATCAATGGTGACCTTTTCTTTATAATAATAATAAATAATGGAGTATATGTGTAGCAGTTGAATCATGTCTGGGTACCCCCCCCCCCCACCATCTACTTTCACGAGGGTAAGGTCCAGAGGAGAGCACATTACCCGTACCAACCCTTCTCCCTAACCCCATCTGCCCACCACACAATTTTGGTAAAATGCTTTTGTCTCCCTAGGGTATTTTAGTCATTTGACATCGTCCACCATTTTTGTTGTCCGTGATTGAAGGAAGCAGAGATGTAGACTTCTGCGGGTTTGACACCGTGAACAATAACAAATTGAACAAAGAAAATGGAACGGCTTATCTATACTATCTTATAATGCATTTGACTAAAACTCTTAAACTCTTAATCTCTTAAACTCTTAAAAACAACCTCTATTACTAATAGTACAACTTATTAAAGCAATCCCTAAACCCGTTCAAATAAAAAACCCTATCCTATTTCATGGCCAAACKATCTCATCTCCAACAGAAACCCAATTCCCTCCCTAAATTCCCGAAATCGGATTTCATCGCCAACAGGAACGATTTCATCGCCCTAACCCAATTCAATTTCATAAACCCTAAAYGATTTCAGGCAAAATCGCTCCCCACCGCTTTCGCTCTCACCCTTCAATCCATCGCTCCATCGTCATCTTCTTCAACCTTCAATC